ATCAATATAATTGGCAAGTATTTTGAGGAGATTAGTCAGGACACTGGGAAGTATGTCGTTGGGGTTGATGATACAATGCAAGTTCTAGACACGGGCGCTATTGAAACCATTATTGTGTGGGAAAATCTCGACGTTACTAGGTATGTTTTGAAAAATAGCAGTACTGGAGAAACAATAATCAAACACTTGAATAAGGAGCAAGATGCAGACGAGAGTAACTTTCGCGAACCTACTACAAATGGGGAGTTAGAGATTATGGATAAAATGCTTTTACTTGAGTGGTTAGCTAATGAGTACAGGAAATTTGGTTGTAGTTTGGAATTTGTTACAAATAAATCACAAGAAGGATCTCAGTTCTGTCGTGGTTTTGGTGGCATTGGCGCTATTCTTCGTTACAAGCTTGATGTTCGAGCTTTTGATGATGTTTCTGACGACGGTGAAGTTTATGAAGAAGTTTATGTTGATTCTGAATAGCAATCATCCAACTTAAAAAATGCCAGTTTAGTAATGGAGCAGGAATGTTGCACTGGTGCGCGAGGAGGGCTCATGCCTGACTCGGCTGCTGCTGATGTGCTTAGCCACAAATTAGTGGGAGCTCTTAAGGTAAGTGAGCAGAGATGTAGTCTTATTCTTGAATGTTATAATCTATCTTCTTTTGCGTGCAAAATGTCTTTTGAAGATTAAACTTATCTGCATCATTCACTACTAAAAAAACAGACGCGCAAATTCTGTAGCTAAACAACAAAATCTGTCGCTAATCCTACTTAGCGACGGATTGGCGACAAATTATCAAAAACTCTTGTTAGCTATGAGCGATTATGCAAAGAAGTTCGTATCTAATTCTAGTTTTTTTGTTGTAATGATTTCCTTTCTAATAATCTTTTCATTTTCGTGGTTTACTAGATGGATGATCGGCATGAAGAAATGACTGCGAGTAGTTTCTTCGCGTTTGTCTGAGCAATATGTAGCTCACTTTCATCTCACAAACGCCGGTGCAGCAGTTGAGCAGGAAGCCAGTACTGGTGCACAGCGTCTAGCGCCTGGATTGGCCGCTCATGTGCTTAGCGGCCAATTACTAAGAGCTCTTCAGGTAAGCGGGCAGAGACCTCGTCTTGTCCTTGAACGTAAAGTAGAACAATCTGCAACATTCTTATAGTCTTTTCTTTTTCCTGGTTTACTAGATGGATGACCTGCATCATGAAGAAATAAAGTCGCGAGTAATTTCTTCGCGTTTGTCTGAGAAATTTGAAGGTCATGTTCATCCCTCACGTGGCGTGAT